CTTTAACAACTTTCTAAGATACTTTTCGTTGTAATTAGAAAAAATATCTGATTAGGTATCGAAACAAAATTCATTGAAATTATTTAAAAAAATAAAATAAATAACTAAAAATAACATGAAACTAAAATTAAGATTTCTACATTAACATTTATGAATTATTTAAACAAATTTTGCTTTTATTTCTAAAATAATATACGAGAAAAAAAACTTTTAAAGTAACACAGGCAAAATAAAAACATTAATTATTTGATTTATTGGATAAACATTTAGTTATACCTTTGATTTTATGAAATTCGTCAAGATAAAAAGAAATTCAAAAAGTGACAGTTTAATAAAATTTCATACAAAAAAAAATTCATAAATAAAATAAAAGTAAATGCAGATTTTACTTAATTAACTTCGAATGGTTGCTTTTCTTGCTTTAAAAATGCATTTTCAAATAAAAACAGAGATTTTCTAATAGAATGTTCCAGTTTAAATGTTATATTTTAACAGTTTGATTTTATTTTATTTTATAACCGTCGTTGAACAGCCGACCCAATTTTTGAGTTTACGACTGCTATTGTTCAACTCCGTAGCCTTGTAATTTTGAACCCAGTCCAGAGGACAAGGGAACTCCTGGATCAAGTATTGGGGGAAATGTACCGTTTTGCAGTTTGATTTAAACTATTTACAAATAATCATACATCGAGTTGAAATTGAAGATATTAACCAAGTTTTTCTTACAAATGTTTAATATGAGCATATACTATACATCTGAGTCCAACTCTTCCCAAATTAATTAATCTGGAGTAATGGAATACCATCGGTGAATGGTTCTGCCACATGGAAACCATAATAAAACTATTCACGAAATGCAGAATGAACTGAAATTATAGATTCATTCTCAGCAATTTGCCGGACACAAAACGCCTTGCGTTGATGAGAGGCGATTTTGCGGTGACAACAAAGCAGTAAACTAAAGCAAAAAATAACGAGAATAAAGCAAAAATAAAATACACAAATGGACATACTATAGTTTCGGTTCCATAAACAAGAACCTCTCTCAGTGTATGAACATTAGAAAAGTTATGGTCTTTCTACAGTTTCTTCGTGCTTAGACAATGAGAAAGGTTCTCGCTTATAGTGCCAAAACTATAGTATGTTCATTTTCGTATTTTATTTATATTTTATTCACGTTTTTTTTTTTTTTTTTTTTTTTTTTTTTTTTTTTTTTTTTTTTTTTTTTTTTTTTTTNTTTTTTTTTTTTTTTTTTTTTGTTTAGTCGACGCGCCATCAAGTATGACAAAGTCATTTCTTTGTACAAAGCAGTACTCGCGCATTCTCTTGATTGTAATTGTGAAAAGAATTTGATTTAAGAGCTGCTTTTAGAAAGCTTTTTCACATGAAACATCGCTTTTCAGTCAATTAATAAGTTGTTTTTATAACTGTTGTGAATTGGTAACAGTTACTTATGACTGTTAATCTATCTTTAGTGAGTATTCTAACTATGAAAACGTTAATATGAATAAAGGTCACAGTTTTGCGAAAATGATAAGTGTTTTTAATCTAAATTTTCAAAATTTAAGAAGTTACTCCGATTGCCTGAGCTCATAAAAGCTATCAAAACATTAAGAATTACTCATTGATTTCTATGATTTTCATTTAAGAAAAAAACCTGACCAAATTGATGATTTCTTAAAAAAATCCAAATTTTTCAAAAATTTTTTTTCATAATTGTGGAGGTATGGTAAATACAATTTAAGAAGTTATAGCTTTACTATAACTTTATCTATGGCTTTTTTTTAATTATTTTCTTTAGTAAAAGAACTTTGACGAACACAAATATGTTAAAAAACTAGGTTATTTTACCCTCAGTTTGATATATGATTTGTTGTAAATTAACAGTTAAAATCTACCATTGAACATTCTTCTAAGCACACATTGTAAATTAGATCATATACAGGAAAAAACTATAAAATTAAGAATGTCTTTTGTAATCTTCGAATTTTTCTAAAAAGAAATCTATCGCTTGAACTAGTATTTGAAGACATCATTAAAAACAAACTATTAGAACACAATGAAGTGAATAATTTAGTGGGAATAAAATAAATCTTGAAACAATAGGAAATGTTCTAAATCGTATTTAAATATAATATTTTTTTCTCAAAGCGAAATCAGACCAACAAAGCTAAAATATCAATCAATCCAAAGAAAACAAATTCGAAATAGATCGGAACTGCGACCACACGGTTCATTTCTTCCTTACCCGTTGATGAAGCCGTTTCTACTCAAAAGTAATGACATGATTTTCTTGCCTTTTACAAACAGTTTGACCATTTTCTTTAATTCACCGAAACGAAATCAGGTCAGGCTAAAGTTTTTAGATTAGCGAAGATCATGATAAAATAAATCGCTTTCCTTGGAAGCTTTATATTGAACGAGGATGCGGTTAAAATACCCAGAATTTCTTAATCGTAAATTAAGTATTTGAAATTATTATGAACAATATCATTTTAAAACACATCATTGAATAATTTACTTTAAATTGAACAAAGTGTAGCATTGTTATTTCAATATTTTTTTTCTTGCGATCCCACTTTTGTTTTTTTATTTGAAAATTGAAAAAGAACTTAAAACTAATTTAAGTAACTGTTAATCAGACTTTTTATTTGTGTTTCATGATTTTCTCAAAATTCTCAAGCGAAAACAAGCGATTTGCACAAAATCCTTTAGCGTGGGGTTTTTCCTTGTTTTAAACTCCTTTCGTAGTCTAGCGATTTGCCATAATTTCTTCGTTTGAGCAACTCAAAACTCCGTAGAATAAAATAAGAATTAATGCGGATTTTTTCAAAGGCTTATGTGTGCAAATGATTTGCCCAAACTCTGCTATCGTGGGTACCAGTGATCTGCACAAAACTCTGCTTTCGTGGGAAATAGTGGTCTGCACAAAACTCTGCTTTCGTGGGAAATAGTGATCTGCACAAAACTCGGCTTTCGTGGGAACTAGTGATCTGCACAAAACTCTGCTTTCGTGGGTACTAGTTATCTGCACAAAACTCTGCTTTGTGGGTACTAGTGATCTGCACAAAACTCTGCTTTCGTGAGTACTAGTGATCTGTACAAAACTCTGCTTCCGTGGGAACTAGTGATCTGCACAAAACTCGGCTTTCGTGGGAACTAGTGGTCTGCACAAAACTCTGCTTTCGTGGGAGCTAATGGTCTGTCTAAAGCTCTTTAACGCGAATTAGTTTCTTTTCTTTTAACGTTGACAAATGTTTCGCTAAAATATTTTTAAATTGGCTCAGAGTATTTCAGCACACAATTTCTCAATCATAAATCTATGAAGTAAAACATTCGCAAGAAAAAGCTTTCTGATGAATTGCAAAATAGCTGGGTGCATTTAGTCAGAATTAATCTTTCTTTTAACTGGGGAAAAATAGAAATGACGTTTGAAAGAGTTTCCTATTTTGGATACATCCCATTAATTTGTTCCTTTCGTTCGCAGCCTATCCTTGCTGAGTTCCTTAAAAAAATAATGAAGGCTTTTTATTTTAACCATTACTTTAAATAAAAGTACAACACAATTTGTGAATTTTTTTTGGTTTATCGTGTGGTGCCGCCCGTAAATCACATTAATTTTTTAACCGTAATTTTTTCAATATTTTACGCTATATCACATAAAAGTTTGCTAGCAGTTTATAAACAGAACACATGTTCTAAATCATCTTTAAAATTTTGTTACAATCATATTTCATAAAATGCTGATTTCAAATATCACACTTGCTCTGAATCGGGGGACATCACATTTACTATTATCCCCTCCACCTTACAACAAACTGTCACAATTTCATTAACTCTGTCCCCTCTAATCTTATACTTGTGAGCAGCCCCCATGATTTTTAAATGCATATTTGAATTTCATAATTAAGAGCCTGTAAAATATTAAAATTATAAAAAAAAGCATGATCTAAATTATAGTGAAACAAAAATTGTTGACTACAAAAAAAATATCTACCTAAAGATCTCTTATCATCCTCCCTCCAAAAAAAAAGAAACCCTCTGTTAATTTCGTTTTTTTTAGACATTCAAACAAATAGTAATATATATTTAAATAAATTCAAAGTGGTTGAAGAAACTCTTTAAAAAAATAGGGCATGGGGTTGCATAGTAATCGTTACAGTTTGATAAATATAACCCTTTCAATCTTTTAATATTTTTTATTATCATAAAACGAATAATCAAGAGTTAGTTTGAAGTTTAAATAAAAGAATAATAGAAAGATCCACTATATAAGTATTCTCATGATAAGAAAGTTCGTGAAAGCTTCTTCAATTGCGAAATAATTTTTATAAATTAAATAATTACCTAAACAAAATTAAATAAAAATTATTTATTTTTTTATCATAATTGACAATTCAAAGAAATAGGGAAAAACTTAAAAATAAAATAAAATATACAAAAAAGAATAATTTCAAATTTAATATTAGATTCAATATCAATTGTGAAAATATGTTGAACATTGTCAGAGTTAAAATTCAATCGAAAAATATTTATTTTATTTGATTGTTATACAAATATTTTTAATTAATATTCATGCAACAATCAAAATCGTTCATTAATATGTAAAATTATAACAGCAAAGCATATGCGTTTTAAAAAATTTAATTATCATTAAATTGTTTAAAACACATTTAAATATCATTGTAGTGAAACAATAATATTTAATAGTTTACAAAAAAATAATTGAACCGTTAATATTATCCTTTTTTAGTATTTATTCGTCGAATTTTCGCTCATAAAAATCTCCTAAGTAAAATTAGGAGGTGTAGTACACTTGGTAATTAAAATATTTTAAAAGAATTCAAAATCATTGTATCAAAACTATTGTTATTGTATAATTTTAAAATTAATTTAAAATAGCTTTATTCAGATATTTTTTTTGTTTTATTGTTTAAAAGGAATAAATGTAAAATAATTGTTAAAAAAAATTATATCTAGATTAAAAATTTGAAACTCACCTCTCTAGTGAATATCTCCAAAGTAAAAACAATCGTTGTAAACCACTTGGTTAAAGACAAGTGAGGAAGTGCACTTAAAGAAAATCAAACAGATTAACTAACAGAGATCAAAACAAGAACAAAATCGCGGAAACTAACAATTCTATCCTCCTTGGAATTCCCGAGGTGAAACGAGAACAGGTNGTGATCTGATCTGCACAAAACTCTGCTTTGGTGGGTACTAGTGATCTGCACAAAACTCTGCTTTGGTGGGTACTAGTGATCTGCACAAAACTTTGCTTTCGTGGGTACTAGTGATCTGTCTAAAGCTCTTTAACGCGAACTAGTTTCTTTTCTTTTAGTGTTGACAAATGCCTTGCTAAAATATTTCTAAATTGGCTCACACAATTTCAGCACACAATTTCTCAATCATAAATCTATGAAGTAAAACATTTACAAGAAAAAGCTTTCTGATGAATTGCAAAATAACTGGGTACATCAAGTCAGAATTAATCTTTCTTTTAACTAAATAAAAATGACATTTGAACGAGTTTCCTATTTTGGATACATCCTTTTAATTTGTTCCTTTCGTTCGCAGCCTATCCTTGCTGAGTTCTTTAAAAAAAATAACGAAGGCTTTTTATTTTAACCATTATTTTAAATCAAAGTATAACTCAATTTTTGAATTTTTTTGGTTTATTGTATGGTGCCGCCCGTAAATCACATTAATTTTTTAACCGTAAGTTTTTCAATATTCTACGGTATATCACAGAAAAGTATGCTAGCAGTTTATAAAACAAAACATATGTTCTAAATCATCTTTTAAATTATGTCATAAGCATATTCCATTAAATGCTGATTTCAAATACCACACTTGCTCTGAATCGGGGGATATCACACTTGCTATTATCCCCTCCACCTCACAACAAACTGTCACAATTTCATTAACTCTGACCCCTCTAATCCTTTACTTGTGGGCAGTCCCCATGATTTTTAAATGCATATTTGAATTTCATAATTAAGAGCCTGTATAATATTAAAATTATAAAAATAAGCATGCTATAAATTATAGTGAAACAAAAATTGTTGACTACAACAAAAAACATGTGAGAAAAATATCTAACCAAAGATCATTTATCCCCCCCCCCCCCCCAAGAAAAAACTCTGTTAATTTTGTTTTTTTTCTCGAACATTTAAACAAATTGTAATATATATTTAAATAAATTCAAAGTAGTTGAAGAAACTCTTAAAAAATAGGTTGCATACTAATCGTTACAGTTTGATAAATATAAATAAGAGTTAGTTTAAAGTTTAAATAAAATAATAATAGAAGGATCCACTATAAGTATTCTCATGATAAGAAACTTCACTACACTTGGTACAATTTCTGAAATAATTTTTATACATTAAATAATTACCTAAACGAAATTAAATAAAAATTATTTATTTTTTTATCATAATTGACAAGCTAAAGAAATAGGGAAAAACTTAAAAATAAAATAAAATACTCGAAAAAGAATAATTTCAAATTTAATATTAGTTTCAATATCAATTGGGAAAATATTCTAAAAATTGTCAGAGTTAAAATTCAATCGAAAAATATTTATTTTATTTGATTGTTATACAAATATTTTTAATTAATATTCATGCAACAATCAAAATCGTTCATTAATATGTAAAATAATAACAGCAAAGCTATTATTAAATTGTTTAAAACACATTTAAATATCATTGTAGTGAAACAATAATATTTAATAGTTTACAAAAAATACTTGAACAGCTAATATGATCCTTTTTTAATATTTATTCATCGCAATGCTTCGTTTCTAAAAATCTCCTAAGTAAAATTAAGAGGTGTAGTACACTTGGTAATTAAAATATTTTAAAAGAATTCCAAAATCATTGTATCAAAACTATTGTTATTGTATAATTTTAAAATTAATTTAAAATAGCTTTATTCAAATATTTTTTTGTTTTATTGCTTAAAAGGGAATAAATGTAAAATAATTGTTGCTAAAAAAAGTTATTTATCTAGATTTAAAAATGTGAAACTCACCTCTCTAGTGAATATCTCCAAAGTAAAAACAATCGTTGTAAACCACTTGGTTAAAAGACAAGTGAGGAAGTGCACTTAAAGAAAATCAAACAGATTAACTAACAGAGATCAAAACAAGAACAAAATCGCGGAAACTAACAATTCTATCCTCCTTGGAATTCCCGAGGTGAAACGAGAACAGGTAGACGTTCAATGGATTGAAAAGGTAACTAATCCACATTCAAACAACCGCTCACTCGCTCTCAGCTGTTTTTATCATCGCCAATATGTTGGCGCTTTGTCGCCAAATCATTCATTTATATTTTGTTAAAGGTTGAATGCGAAATGTCCACTATATTTCCGTTTTCAATTCATAACAAATATACAGGATGCATTAAATAACAAATTTGATTCTAGAAATTATGAAAATAGTCGGATCTCTATATAACGAAGTTACTAAATCCCGATAATAAGTTCGTTATATGGGAAACTTGTAAAATAGAAAATCACCTTTTGAACTACTTAAACAACACAAAACAGGTTTTAAATTCAGGAAAGCTAGTTTAAATTAAAATAATAATTGATGCACCTTTATCTTGTAAACTAGTATCTACTATTTACTTTATAAATCTTAGACATAAAAGAAATCTGCATGGAAAGCAAGAATAGAGCAAAACAATGTTACACTGCCATGCTACATACTTTTTAAACTAAAAAAAAGCTAAATTCATGTATAAAATTATAGTTGCATTTATTTGCCGTATAAAATTATAACTGCAAAGTAATTTTAAACACACATTATAACATGCGTTCTTAAGTTTAATTTCTACTGATAAAATCCGTTAAGTTAATTAAATAAAATTAAAAAAATAATTACAAATGTCGCGATAGATAAAACAGACATGCGTGGTGAGTGAATGAAACGTATTTTAGTTTTTTTCTATTAAATGTTAATGATGGAAAACCCGTATTCAAGAATTAAAAAGTTTTTCTCCCTCTTCAAATTTCATTCAGATCAAAATTTAAGTAATTTTACTATTTAACCCCTTGATACATATCACAAATTTCAGAGATTGTAGAATATAAAAAAAAAAAGTCACATCTATTTTTTCTCATTGTTTTTTGAGCAATGGGATGCCTGCAAGTGAAGTAATGTAGGTATCTAGATCTTGATGGGTTGTTAAAACGTGGCATTTGTTTACGTTAGCAACTGTTCTTTCCATTCTATTTCGAGTAAGCCAAACCCGTCAAGTATCAATTCTCTTACGTGACACATGCGATACTCTTACACAAAAGTTTTAATTCTTTCACTCTATATTTACTACTTAACACAATGAGAGGTACGAAGCCATGCAGAACATAAGCAAACTAATTTTGCATCGAAGTTGCCAGGTACACAAAACAGAAATATGTCAAGGTTACAATAAAATAACGTAAACAAGTCGTAAACAACGATCCGCTGGCGATGACGTCGTAGGTCACATGTGTGGGTATTCGTAATCTGCTTCTTCTTGAAGTGCAAGTACTCAATGACGAACATATTGTTTTTTTTTATTATTTTTTTATTAAGTACACTTAGAGCTTAGTTTAATATCATCTGTTTACAGTATTATTATACACTAGCTGAATACTCGTTCTTCGTACCGAGAGAAAAAAATAGCATCCATTAATCAGTACTGAAACAACACTACAAAATCACGATCATTCAGATAACTTGACATAAAGAATGAAAAATAATTACGTTATTCAGAGCGCGCAATAAACTACCTTTTTTGATTAAAGCTATAAAACATCACTGTTATCTTTAAAGCATTTGAAAAAACTGAATCGTCTACAGCTTAATTTAAAACAATGGCTCTCACTAAGCTAATGAGAAAATTACTTTTCTAAAATGTCTCTATATTAAAAATATAGTTCAAAAATCGGTCTTCGTCATTTGCTTACAATTGTACTCATTTAGTTTGGTAATGAACACAGTATTTTTAGAGCCTACGGTATACCCGCAATCCGGTATGCAGACACACACAAATTCCTTATTAGATACTTTTTGAAATATAATGGAAGTATTATAATTACTTGGAAGATAAGTTTATGATTTATTTGTATAAGTTTTGCATATACATGAGACCTTGTTGAGATATTCTAGATCCAATTGTTTTACGTTTTGAAACGTATTTTAAAAACGTCTTAACTATTGTACAACTTGTCTGAATCTAAGTTAAATTTTGGTAAATATGTATACACTGCAATTTATGTATCAATACTTAGCGTAATTCTGTGGAATGTGAAATGGCCCAACTTATTTTAAATGAGCCATGCTTAGATCTTTCTTTTTTTCATTTTATTTACTTATTTATTTTTACCCTTTACTTATTTGTGTTAGGGCAAACCATTTGATAATAAATGCAGGATGTTTTTTCTAATTTTCAATTTAAAACTCTGCTTGTAAATAAAAGATGATGTATGAGAGCATTTTAAGTTTTAATCTGTTTTTACGTAAAAATTAGTTTTGCAAAGCTTTTCAAAAGGTAAAAATTCTTGTCATAAAACATTTCTTTACGTGAAATAATTTGAAAGCCGAGTAAAAATGTAAAGCTTATCTTACTATATATGAAAATCTAATGATGATGTTTTCCATTGTTGTCCGTGCAGTTTTATTGGGCGGAGTTTAAAACTAAGACAATTGTTGTTGTTTTTATTATTATTGTAGCGTAATTCTGCGCTACATTTTAAGATAAAGTTATTTAGAAAGGTTGTCCAATCTTATTAACCCTTTTACAATTATTATTTTTGTGCAAATAACATTAATAGACTGTTATAAATTACAGTTAAAGAGATCTGTTAAATGATTTAGAGCTTAACAATTAGCTTCATGCACAATGAGATGCAAGCAAAAATAAAATTTATTATATCTGCCGGCCTGGATAGCCTGGTCGTTAGGGCACTGGGCCCATGTCCGAGAGTTCGTGGGTACAGAACCCCGCCAGCCAAAGACTCCTCGTGTAGTAAAGTGACTGATGCACGTTAAATCTGTCGAGTCACAAAAGTCCTCCATGTTCCCATAACAAATCGACAACTCTGCGGGTACTGGATCGATCGTTCTCTGATTCAGGTCAAAATTACGATATGTGGATGAATGAATGCATGTATGAATGGGTCCGC